TCAGAACTACAAAACAAAAAAGAGAAAGATGCAGGAAGTAAATACAGAATACTTAAATATCACCAAGGAAAGTGAACTCACACCCTGGTTTTCCTCAGCCTTGGAAGCCAGTTTTCAAACATGTCTTTTTGGACAATTTCGTATCCCTTTTCTTTCAGAGAAGGAGCCTACTCCTGACATTTGCCTTATTTTTGTAGCGATGACATTTATTTAATTCACTGAAATTCAGACTTCCTTTAGAAGCATATTCAAAATAAAATCCTTAGACCTTTTGTGTATTAAGAAACACAAATGCAACTAACATGGTTTGCTATCAGATACATAGAAAAGAAATGGAAAAAGAGGGGGTGAAAAGGACTGAAAGAGGTATTTCCTTTAAGTGATTTATTCAAGGGGACTATCAAAATGTTAAAATTCTACAACAACATTTTTCAGCTATTGTCTTTTTTTTTTACCATTTGTTTGCATTCAAATGCAACATAATTTTATAAATTTTCTTTCCAGGTTTATGTGCCTTGCTTTAAATGGAGCACACATCATCTGGAAACACAAGTTAATCTCATATTTTATTTCCAATGAAGATATATTTCTTGCATGCAGAAACAAAGTGCTGTTTTTCTTTATTGAATTTTTCACAATCTGAGCCCATCTTTGAACCTGGGGAGAGCTGAGACTTTCTAGAGAATCCAAATCTTCCTTATTAACAGAAGCAAGGCTGTCTCCAACAGATGCTAGGAATCCTGGGAACTAACAGATCCCATGCCTTGTCTGTGAATCTAGACTTAGATCCCATTCAGTGCTGTCTTTCCTATCCTTTTTCTTCCATTATCAAGTCTTTGTTCCATTATATACTGCTGCTTTTTGAGATGTAGTCTAATTTCTTGTAAATATCCATGGGACTTCCATGGATAAAGAGAAAGTATAAAAAGAAATAATAATACCCTAGCTTTTCTCTGAATCATAGCATACTTCTTATAGGTCGCATCTGTCAGGGACCTTTCTCATTGTGTCTTCAACTCCCCTTACCTGTTCCACCAGTCCATTACTGATCCTTTACTTGTTACAAGCCGTGAAATATTCTTCACCATCTACACTCCTAGAGCCTTCAACAATGGCTATTTATTCAATACTCTTATTCCCTTCATTTCGCTCCTGTGACAATGAGCTCTCATGTTTCACCCCTCCCCCATCTATTCATTCCTTTAATTTCCTCTATTTCATGGATATTAGTTTTTCCAAAGTCAAAAGAAAAATGCAAAATCACATTTTTCATCGAAGAAATAATAGTACTCTTGCTAACCAATAAAATGCTCCCACAAATATTAAATTCTGAAATTCTTTTTTAACTATCAGAAAAGAGTTTTGAATAAATATTACTACCTCATTTTTATAGTGAAAAACTGAGACTCAAAGAGGTAAAATGACTTCTTCATGTCCATATTTTATTAAATGGTATTACATTAAAAACCCTATTCTTTAACTTCAAATCATGTGCTCTTTACACTAATTGCTTTGTGTATTTTTTTTTCTATAAATTAAAAACACTTATCTGGGTGATTTGCATAGAGTTTTTGCATGAATGAATTGATGAATGCATAAATAATCTAATTGAAAATTCACATGTTTTAAAGATCCAGTTGTTGGGCAAATACAGGATAAAATAGAATAATTTATAGTTTCCTAGGAAGTAGCACCATACCAGAGACAGTTTGTGGTCTTGTGAGTTGAATTCTGTAAAACCTGACAATTATTTTTTTTTCTGAAGAGATCAAGAATATGAAGCAAATAGTAAGTGTAACGTAGGTTGCAGAATTTTATTTAACATAAGAAATTGTAAATTTGTTTTAAAAGGTTACATATCAGATTAACTTTCCTTACCTCAAGATATATCTAAAATAACTTTCAATTAATCATTTCACTTTCTTTCTATTTTAAAATGAGTTTACATTTAAAGATCATAGTGATTTTAGCCTTAATAATTCTGTAAAGTGATATGAATCACACCTGCCTTTAAACATTTCTGTTCCTGTGTGAATGCAAATTAAGAGAATGAGAAAATTATAGGCAATTTATGTTTGTTGTAGCCTTGTTTCTGTGGCAGTAGGAGAAAATGACCCATAATCTGTCGCCCTGGTAACCAGAAATTCACAGAGCATCATAAGGGGCTGCCCCCACTAAGTGCTTCTCTTCAAGTCTTAGTGGGAGAATAAGCAGGATAATACAATCAACTTTAAAAATCTTCAATAACATGGCAAATTTTCATCCTTTAAAAATGAAATCATTATCATTAACATTTCTCCAAAATGTCTGTATTCACTGCTGCTGAAATTGTATAAAAGAGAAAGAAAAACAGAGGAATCAAAGGCTTTCTCATTTTTAAATTGTACCCTGAGAGATAAATTCAGCTCATCACTTTTAAAATCTTTTTATTCAAAGGAAAGAAAGGAATGAAGGAAGAAAAAAAGAAAAAAAGGCCAAGAATTTTCCTGCATCATTAGTTTAGAAATGTTGCTTAGTCTTTCAATGTGAAATAGTTTATTTACTGGGAAAGGACAACATTATTTTAAATACTCTCCTCCTCAAATTTCAAATCCTTAAAAATGCCTCTAGTTGTCAGGCATAATTTTGGTGGCCTAAATTCCATTGTCTTTTTTAAAATAAATATTTACTTACAAATTTGAAAGGCAGAGTGGTGGAGAGAGAAGGAGAGACAGAGAGAAATCTTCAATCCACTAGTTCACTCCCCAGGTGACCGCAACAACCTGCGTTGTGTTAGGTCAGGAGGAAACCAGGAGCCAAGAACTCCATCCTGATCCCCAACAAGGGTTGTCGGGGTCCAAGCACGGGAGCATTTTCCACTGCTTTCTGTGACACATTAGAAGAGAGCTGAATCAGAAGTGGAGGAAGTAGAATTCAACTGGCACTCCATTATGGAATGCTGGTATTCTAGGTGGCAGTATAAACAGTGTCATGATGCAGGCCCTTCACTGTCTTTTCTACTATAAAAATATCTTAAAAGACTTAACACAACACTGATTTTATATATATATATATATACACACACACACACACACATATATATATGCACATATATATGTATACATATATTTTTTTTGGACAGGCAGAGTTAGACAGTAAGAGAGAGAGACACAGAGAAAGGTCTTCCTTCCATTGGTTTACTGCCCCCCCCCAAATGGCCGCCACGGCCAGCGCGCTGGGTTGATCTGAAGCCAGGAGCCAGGTGCTTCCTCCTGGTCTGCCATGCAGATGCAGGGCCCAAGGATCTGGGCCATCTTCCACTACCTTCCTAGGCCACAGCAGAGAGCTCGACTGGAAGAGCAGCAACCAGGAATAAATATCCATAGTGCATTTTAAGAACTGTAATTTTATATATTTCTCATCAAACTTCTTGTGTGTACACATATTTATAAAATGGATATTTATTCTTAATAGGATAGAGTCAAAATATAGACATTTAAGAAAATAATAACTCCCAAAATAGTTCACAGCAGTTCTTAAAATACACTATGGAGATTTGCATTCACATTTATGTAATATGAGTGAAGGCATTTTGTTCTAAGGCTTAAAGTCCGCATTTTGTAAAAGAAAGTTATAAATTAGAAACACAGGTGGAATGTGAACAAATATTCAGCTAGTGAGTGTATAAAGAGGACTTCAAAGCTATGGACACATAGTCTACTGCTAAATAAATATAATTTCTATTTTTCCTTTGAAAACCCATGAGATCACTAAACAGAAATTTTGGTTTTTGTTTAATTTACGTGGGCACTAAAACAACACTGAGGAAGAGGGTGGTCATTCTCAAGGATACTATCAGTTACTATGTATAGAATATTACTCAGTTCTTCGGTGTTAAATAATGATTTACTTCATATGGAGTTCTAACTCATTGCTAGAAATCTACTTCTCCAACAGTGGTAAATCAAGAGATCCATACATACTTGTCCTTAACCATCAGACTGCATCTGTTTTATATAGAGTTAGCATCTTTATGTTGACACCAGTCCCATTAGTGATAACATACACTTTTGCTTCTTTCCTTTAACAGCAAGCACTATGAAAGAAAAAAAGAAATCAATGATTTCAAAAGTTTGCTATTTACGAACTTCAGTTCTAATTCATCCTATGAAGTTCACAGTCCCTGTATTCTCACCCATGCTCTGCATAATATTTTTGTGACATTTCTAATAGTTTCATAACATGAGGCTGAGTTCACTTTTTCTACCTACAGTTACTTAAAACTGATATCTGATTCATGATATTTACCCATAGTAGGTAGACATGGGATGTAGTGGTTGTCACTGTTTGAGAGGCCAGCATTCAGTGCATGCAATCCAGTCATGCCTCAGCTTCCTATTCCAACCTTGTGCTAATGCAAGTCTGGGATAGAGCAGATTTCAAGGTCCCTGCTACTCATTTGGAAGTCACAGATTGAGTGATTTGTGGCTCCTCGCTTCAGTTTGGCCCAGCCCCTACTCTGTCTCTGTCTCCCTCTTTGTTCCTGTATCTCTTTTTATCACCCTACCTCCTCCCTCAAATAATAATAATAAAAATCATCAGGAATTAACAGGCATAACTGCATTTGAATAGCTAAAAATGTAAGAAGCAATACACATTCTTTCTTTAGGATACAATAGACTTCCACTAGAATAGATCACAATGGAAGAAAGCCAGCAATTATGCCATAACTCTTGTTGATCTATAGTATTCATAAACAACACTGTACATCTTATATAGTTATTCTTAAGTTTTTGCATTATCAATTGCACCTTGAAATATTTCTCTTGCCTTCCCTCCTTGCCCTTTGCAGCCTGTTAAATATTCTCTCTCACTGGAATCTAAATCATTTTTGAACAAAATCATAGGAACTTGATAATAATAATAATAGCTATCAAATCATAATTGGTTCTTTAGTTTTCTTCATCAATAATTTTCTTTCACTCTTTTATGTGTCTCTCTCTTTTTCTTCCTTATTGCAGATCTTCCCATGTTTCCACATTTCCTGTTTTCAATATTGGCCCTGATGGTCTCACTCGGCAGGTGGCAATGTCTCTTCATTCTCTGGTAAAGTTTAAATCATTACACTTCATTTTCACAGTGTCTTTTCTCTAGAAAAACCCAACACTTGTCAATGTGCACTTCTCTCAGTTCTGAATCATATCCACCTCTCCATATATCACCCCTCTTAGGTCAGAGGAAGCCTTTGACCCCAGACTTCCTTTCTGCTTTTGCAAATATTCCCATTCTCTATATCTGCCTTGTCCATTAAAGTATTCTGTGATACCACATGAAACTTAAAATGCTATTACCAAAGAGGGGGATGCAATTATGGTACCAATTATAGTTTCATAACAAAGATTGCTATCACCACTTCCTCAATGTCTATTCTAGGATTTTTTTCACTCAAGGTCAACATGTACTATAAAAAATCCATGCTGGCATTTTCTAGATGCTTCCAAACAAGACTAATCAGAAAACTCTGCTGCTCAGAATGTAGGAACAGGAAGATGAAAGAAAATACTTCTTAATGTTCAAAAGTTTTTTTTCAGAGAGCCTTGTTTAAGGTTCAAAGTGCCATAATTCCATGGATATTAAATATGTTGGTCTTCACAAATTGTCCTTATTGGTTATTTAATATGCACTTTCATTTAGGAAATACTGCACTCAATTATTTAAATGAAAAGATATGTGACCTAGTAAAATCATCATTTCAAACCTAAAAATTTCATATATTTTTTCTAGTAAAACAGCCGTTGTTAACTCCAAGGTCCTTTACTATTTGTCCCAATTCTGATATTTACTTATCTTTCACTCCCCAGTCATTATCATAATTTTACATAATTCTAGAATATCTTGCTATCTTGTATAACCCAAATCCATAATGTATTCACACTAAGAGATACTGCTCTTCGAGCATCACTTATGCACATTTACTAATGGCCAAACTTGGGTAATCCCATTATCTTTTTTATTTAATTCTGGCTCAGGATTTGAAGACTTACTGGAGAAAGTATGGTAATTGTATTAATAGGCTTCTGTACACTTTCAATTCAGTTTAATTCAACTAATGTCTATGGTATTCTATACCTATCACTAGGTTGGGCACTGGGAAATAAAAGAAAATAAGATGAGTCTTTGGTTGAGAAACATTCCTTATGCTGAATGATAGACAAGAAATAAAATAAAATTAATAACATTTGGCACATGCTAAGAAATAAATAAAAAACAATGTGCATGGTATGATTTGAGCGCAAATGAGGGGATTTTCCACAGCCTAGATTGGCCTTGGGGTGTGTCATGAGAATAAATTGATTCCAAGTAGTAAGATGACTGCAACTTAAAAGAGATTTGAAATACCTAAGTATGTTTTAGAAATTAGAAATATTTTTAGCCCGGTGAAGGGCTAAAGGCTTGGCAGGTAGGAAAATGTTTGTAAAAGAGGAATTGTATGCAATAATTTTAATAGATAGAATAAAAGAGTGTATACCAATTTCTTTAAAAGGAATTAAAGAGCCTCATACAAGGCTCTCAGTGGCCTCATACAAAGGGAGAAGGATGGACACTATGGATCTAACAAATTTGGGAACTTCCAATACAGGTATATGACAAGCAGTAAAATATTAGGGTACTTTCAAAAGTTTGTGACAGGATGAAATAAAAGATATGTTTATTTTGGTCAAAATTGTTTTTAAATCTGGGGCAGGTAGTGTGGCATAGCTGGTAAAACCACAGCCTCCAACCGGCATCACATATGGGCGCTGGTTTGTGTCCCAGCTGCTTCAGTTCCAATCCAGTTCCTTGCTAATGGTCTGTGAAAAAGCAGTAGATGATGGCCCACATGCTTGGGCTCCTGCTACTTTTAGGGAGACTTTAAAGAAGCTTCTGGTTCCTGGTTTTTGTCTGGCCCAGCTCCTTTGTGGCCATAGGGTGGATGTCCTCTCTCTCTCTCTCTCTGTAATTCTGACTTTCAAATAAATAAGTCTAAAAGAAAGTTTTGAAATTCATGCATGTTTTTCATGATATGCATTTTCTGTGAACATTTTGGAGACCCCTTGTATACAGTATTGAAATGGATAGCTATGTGAATAGAAAATACATATCTGAGGCATCTTTATAAAGAGTAATTAAGCTCAGGATTGTAGATGAGTTATCTAGCCAATAGAGGCCAAAGAAGAAGGAATCACAGGAGTGACAACAGAATTTTTCAAAGTTGAATAAGAAGGCAGAGCTTGAAACATTTAAAAAGGGCAATAGAATTATGAAGAAAACCCGAATCTGACAGTAGCATAGAAGGCAAGAATGAGATTTCAAGGAGTTTGCAGCAGATGAATTCATTAAAGAAAAATGAGAAAAACTGACATTGAATAGCCATATGGTCTCAAGTTAGGACGATGTTTTATAAACATAACAGAAATTGGATAAATTTCAAATGAGAAATATAAATATAACTACATAAAATTAAAAGAACAAGTATACACAGTAATATCAATCCAGAAGCAATGTTAAAGCAAGTATAACATGTAGTTAAAATGACTGCTGTATAAGAATTCAACATAGAAGCAGATATTGTGGCAAAGCGGATTAAACCACCATTGGGAAGCCCACATCTGAATATCCAAGTGCTGGTGCCAGGCCCAACTAGTGTACACTTCCAACCCAGCTTCCTGTTAAAGAGCCGACGAGGCAGCACGTGATGGCCCAAATGTTTGGAATCCTGCTACCCAAGAGGTAGACTCATATGGAGTTCTTGACTTCTGGCTTCAGCCTGGTCTAATGTTGGCTGTTTGCCTAATGCCTTAAAAATATCCATATTCCTTGACCCACTTCAACATCTGGAATCATATACTTCCAAATGGTAATAAATTCTTATGAATGGACTCATTTCCGGATTGTTTATAGTAAAAATTAACTAAAGAATATGTCAAGTAGTAAGAAATTATGGCATTTGTATGTGAAAGAATCTCTGTAAATATCAAAATTGCTAATGTTGAATTTTTGATGATTATAAAACTAAGTTTCAGGTTATGAACAAATAAAATTAAGTTTTAGGTTAACTGGAGAAAGTAGAAAACTGTATTGCGTATGTTTAAATATGTGTAGATTTGTGGGCCTGCTGAGAGTCGAGGAGATGTGCAGCAGTGGATTCCTTTAATGGGATACAGATAAATCTGGGAAGAGCAGGGATATTGTAAAGTGAGTCTATCATAAGTTTACTGGAAAATAATCTGTATTAAGACCAAAAGAAAAATACTGGATGCTAAAAACTTTTATTGAAAAGAATTATTTGTATTCTGCTTTTAGAGTGATGTCATCTAATTTTTCTTCCATTGACACACTAATATGAACTAAATTAATGCTACTCAAAATAAGTAATGTAAGTATTTAAGCAACAACTTGGGAATAATACAATTGAGTGTGGCAGTTTGGAGCAGTAAGGTCCTTCACAGGTCTAGGTATGACTTTCATTTGTGGATAAGATAGTATGTAATGATTTAAGACCACATTAAAGGGTTTAGAGTCAGCAGTAGAGACCAGAAAGAAAACAGTGGGCTAAGCAGAAAAGGAAGATGATGATGGAAATCATTCAGCAGGTTCAAGGATTTGTCCTTCATACCTGTAAGGCACATCCTGGTAATTCCCAGAAGGAACTGGAAGAAACCTTTTCAAAATCAAAGCTCTTATAATGACCTAAAAAGCATTGCATTAATTTCTTGTTGATGCTGTACAAATTTAAGCATACCTAAGGGCTGTTGTCTTGCTAAGTGACATATATACGGCCCCAGACAAATTTTTAGAAAGAGAAATAATTTGGAGCCATATAAATGGATATACTGTCAGTAAGAAGGTATTTGGGTGGGAAATGTGGGGAAGGGGGATATTTTAAACAGAAGTATTCACAACACACATTGCATTGTTTTATAGCATGCCATCTAATTTTCCATCTACCCAGAATTTTACCTGAATATCTTCTATACTTTTGAATTTGTTAAATACTGTATAACAGAAGGAAGGATGGTATCAAATGAATATCATGTTTTTTGGGACAAATGTAAATGTTGTTTTCAAGATTTGGATTCCAAGTGCTCCCTAAGATGTGGTGCATAAACAGTGTAAAAACCCCTCAGGATATTGTTACACATAATTATCTATTCCTCAACTCAGTGTTAGAGTTAAGAATTTTATCCTTAGATTGCATGTTAGTGTGAAATAAGAATACCATAATGATATTTGATTCTATCAAGATATGTAACATATCTCATCAATTTAGGTTCAATTTAAGTCTTAATAACCTACTGAGATGTATACTATTTTTAGAAGTGTTTAGAGATTAAAACATATTAGCAAATCACAATAATAATTTAATTTAAACCACAGCTGATGGGGGTTAATAAAAATGTAAATATTTTCCTAGTCACTAGCATGATATCTTCTCTCTCACATAGAATCAAACCATGTTATATACATCATGACTGTAATAAAGTCTATAATATGAATACTCAATATAATCATATTTATATTTTTATTTTCAGAACTTTAGGAAGTAACTGGAATAGTACACTGTATTTTAACATAATTTCACATTTCACCCAATTATTTCATTTGAATTTTTAATTGGTATATAGGTTTTTTTAAAAAATCTTATCTATAATCAGATGTAAGGTGATATTATCTAACCAATAAAACATAAACAGTACAGCACAGGACATAATTAATTTTTAGTTAATCTTTTCACACTTGAACAATTGGATACCCTTTTTTTCCTTACATCCCCTCAAAGTTCCATAGATTCATCTCTTTACCACAGGTAAGAGTAATTGCTTCAAAAAAATAAATGTGAAAACTGCTTAGAAAGGGAAAATGCCTAAGTCAGAAAGGATAGTATGCATTCTGGGCAGGTGAACAGGTTTCTATGGTTAAACATTTATATGACTGAAATCAGGGTGGAGTTCCTGGATTTAGACTGTTGCCTCCATTTGAAGAATGAACCAGTAGATTGAAGATCTCTAATTCTCTTTCTGTGTGTGTTTGTGTATTTCTTTCTTTCTCCTCCCTGATCTCTTCTT